AGTAGTACCTTTACTAGACGAATTGACAGGTGAACTCGTGCCTAAGACGCAAGTTGTACTTTTGTTAGGAATGTTTACTATGAAATCATCTTAGAAGCAGTAACTCGACCAGTAACTCGTGCCCGAAAGGAGAGTAGTTGTACTCTTACTAGGCGAGTTAAGTGTAAACTTGTGCCTGGGGAAGGCAAGTTTACTAACTCGTGCCTAGAAAAAGGTGAGTAGTACCTTTACTAGGCGAGTTGACAGGTGAACTCGTGCCTAGGACGCGAGTTGTACTCTTGCTAGGGATATTTACTATGAAATCATCCTAGAAGCATTAACTCGGCCAGTAACTCGTGCCCGAAAGGAGAGTAAACTCACGCAAGGAGAATAAATTCACGCGTGGAGAGTAAAAGTGACCCCGAAGTGCAAAATCTTAGTAGAGATTCTATTTTAATAGTATAGATAGATGTCATTTACACTGGTTAACGGTTAGTATTTGGTATTATCGATACAAGGACCCAATTAATAATTACGCCAATCATTATATAAACCAAGAGCCACTTATTTGGTAAATCAGCCGAAATACATGATCTAATCTATTAAAATAGAGCCTATTTTTATCTACTGATAAAAAACCATTGGACCATTTCATTAGTAATTTTTATCATATCAAAAATAATATTTATATATTAGATCATTTGAATAAAATATACCATCACACATGAAAATATTCTACTATAACACTATTAATTTTTAAATATTTAATTTTTTACTTTAACAAAATCTTATAGAATCTTTGATTATTACATTTTAATAATGCATTAAATTCTTAATTATTAGAAAATATTAAAAATAAATATTATTTAAATTTTAAATCAAAACAATAATTATTTTTTATAATTTATTATTTTAATTTCTAAATTTTAATATAACAATTAGAAAAAAATAAGTTTAAGAAAAACAAATTAGAAAATGTAAAATATAAATATATATATATAATTGAATTATATGATTTTTTAGTTTACAGTTGATGTTTTATGTTTGTAAATTAAATTAAATAAATATAAAAAATAAATCCCATAAGAAATATAAACAAAATCTAACCTTTTCATTAGAAAAAATCAAAAACTTAACAAATGGGTTAAAAAAAAAACTATTCTAGTTTGATTCTTATATGATTATATCTATTTTTAATTTAAATAAAAATATTAAAAGCACAATAAATTATATATTAAGATATATTTTTAATAAAAATGAATAAAATATATAATTATATATTAATAATATCGAGCAAGACATATTAAGTTACATAATATAAAACACCAAATTATCATAATATATTTTATCAATTTGTCATAAAAATTAAATATAAACAGTTATAATAACAAAAACATATCCGTGCGGATGCGCATGTTAAAATCTAGTTACTAAATAAGATATATATTAACTAAACTATTTTTAGAGAAATATATGATAACATATTGTTAGTCTATATTTAAGACAAGATTAAAGTTTTAATAATTTAATAAAAAGGTGTAACAATCTTGTATAAGTATATTTTTTTAGAATGTTTCTATTTTAATAGTATAGATTACCTAAAATCATGTGTGAACATAACAAGTAAGTAAACAACTTCTCAAATAGTATAGATAGATCTAGATCTTAATCTCAAAAGACAAAAAGAATGTTTATTTTTAGTGGGAAAATATTACCAATTTTATTAACTTAGGCCTCACCGCTTCAAAACTTTCGACCTCGTTATTTTACCCCTCCCACTAGGCCTGGGTATCCGTTCGGTTTGGATATTTTGGTTATCGGATAGTTCAGATATGGGTTTAGAGGATCCATTTACTACTTGACATATTTTCGGTTCGGTTCGGTTCAGATATTTCAAATTCGTTTCAGTTTGGATAGTAATATTATGAACCAGAAAGTACCCCAAAATGCGGTTTTCATTTGGTTCCGGTTTCGGTTCGGTTAGTTCGGATAGTTAATGTTAAATATCGTGTTTTGGCTAATATAGTGAATAATTACAATAATTCGGATATAAATCTCTAATAGTTTGGATATTTTATAATAGTTTAGTTTTTTAAAACCATTTTCGGATTACATTTAATAAAATTATAAATATATATATATATATATATATATATATATATATATTAATACGTGTATATATTCGGTACTTGTTCGGTTCTTGGTTTGGTTTGGTTCGGTTTGGTTATTTTAGATATAGAAATATATGAACCATTCGAATATTTGAGGGTTTCAGTCTTGTTCCGCTTTTGGATATTTTGGTTCATTTCCCGTGTTTTTTGCCCAAGCCTACCTCCCACAGTCGTTCAACCTTGCCTCGTTCCTCATCTCCATGAGTTCATCTTCTTATTCTTCAAGCAAATCAATAAACTTATTTTTCAATGATTCAAATCAATAAACTAAAAGTAAAAGAGATCACAAATCAAATAATCTCAGTCCAGTGAAAGCTAAAGAGAACTAATGAATCCTAAAATTCACTCAGAAATAGTGTTAGGGTTTTCAGTTGTTTGTAAGGCAAGGAAGCCTATGCTAGGTTCCTTGACATCTATCCTCGATTGATTACATCTTTCCTTGTGACGAGGGGTCTCTTGAACTTCGTGCCGTATTAATTGCATAGTATCTTCGCAATCTTCGTCCAATGGGCAAGGCTCTAAGAGCTGGCTATTGATGAGGTGAGATATATTATGAGCTGTGACTTTAAGAAAAGGCTGCCTACTTACTCTTAGCGAAATCAAGTCAAACGTAGTTCTTAGGTAATATCTCGTGAGTAGCGTGAGGTATGACTGTCCGAGAGAGCTCCTTGTTAGCTATTTATCTTGGCCTCTTTTCTAACTAGGGAGCTAAGAGAGAGGTCTCTTCTTTATGTAGGCGGTTAGGTCTCTCATATAGCTAGGCGGTTAGGAGAGAGGTCTCTTCTTGAGGTAAGCTATTAGATCTCTCTTATAGCTTGGCAGCTTTCCCATTGGCCACAAATTAACACCATCAAAGAAACGAGTTCTACGGCGTTAAGTATCCAGAAACCAGCCATAGCTCTCCACTCAACGTCATAACCATCTCGAAGACAAAATTAGCTCTCTCCCCTGACTTCTCCTATAAAAACAAACTCTCACTAGAAGACAAGTTGTTGTTGGAAATTCTCTAAAGCATAAGGCTTGGTCCTTATCTAAGCAAGAGCCAAGAGTTCAACGTCTTGAAGAAGAACAAGAAAGGAATCAAGATCTGATGACTGAGCAGAAGTACCGGAAACTCTCCAAAGGTTGATCTTTCAGATAAGAATTCTTCAAATTTAGATGTTCTTGATGGTTTGGATTTAGCTTTCTTAACCAGTTTTTGATACAATCTTCTGTGATAACTATTTACACATATCATTTTTGTATGTAACACAACATTAATGTAAGTACTGTAATAGTTGAAACAAAACAAAAGATATAATCACACACTATGGTTGGTTTAGTTGGATTTATGTTTCAGGTCAACTGTTTTCTCTGTTTCCAGCAACTCCTCAAACAACCTTAAAGAAGCTGACAACTCCATGTTAGGCTGCCTATAAGATTGAGTGCTCAGTAAACCGGAAAATGCATTGAAAATCGACATGAAGTTCACCAAAATTCAAAAGATGATGCTCACTATCATTCTTCTATGCCTTCTGGTTTCATCATATTCAGAGGCTGCTCCACAAACCCAACTGGCCACACCATTAGAACTAACAAAGCCACAAGGTTTTCCCGTTGAGAACCAGAACCAACCAATTCTTGGTCAACCATCTTCTTCTTCTGTAAACCAACCATTAACCGGATTTAATCAACCATTAACCGGATTTAATCAGCCATCAACAACTGAACCCAACCAACAGATTCTTGGTCAACCATCTTCTACTTCTTCTGTAAACCAACCTCTAACCGGGTTAAATCAACCATCATCAACTGGATTCAACCAACCATCGTCTAATTCTGCTCTTCAGCCTTTTGCGAATCGAATCAACCAAAATAGTCTTTCTGGAAACAATGTTCCATTTCTTAATGGAAATTCGAAGCTGGAAGTCTCCGTTACAAAGATTATCTCTATCTGCATTTCTCTTCTCTTATCTTTGCACGGTACATGCGTGAACTGAACCGGACTTATACTTCATATGGGCGCCACTGTAAACTTTTGTTTTCAATATATTTTTTTAAAAGAGTGTAACGTGTACATTGCGGAAGTGCATTTTCATTTTTTTTCATCCTTTATGTTATTGGATCAGTGTTCGATTTTATGTCCAAGTGAGTTCCAGTTTCATTTGGCTTCGATTTTCAGGTATAAGACAGTAAGGTATAGTGGACTGGAGTAGACGAAGCAAATTATAACCAACATATGATTTCAACTCAGATTAAAATATGACCAATTTGTACTTTTTAAAATTTTGAATCTTAAGCTGTATAAAAGAATATGTTCATTTAAAACTCAGACAGAGCTGCTTAACCTTCCCACTAATATTTACTTAATCTAGAGAGAAGGAGAAGACTTAACCTAAGAGACAGTCTATCTGGTCAACGCTTTGAGTTTTTAGTATATTAAATGTTTCTGTCCGAAGTTTTAGCTTCGAGCATATGATAAGATTTAAAATAAGACTAGTAACAGGTCAACGATTCAAGTTTTTAGTATAATGTAGCATCAATAATTCAAAAGGTTAACTCAATGTTACACAACTTGCTGAGAATGCTGAACCGGTTCGAAAGGTTGGTCTGTTCTTACTTCTTAGACCAAGCCAAATATAGTTGAAATTTAATTTACCTTGCACCGGCTGCAACGCACTTTACATGTGACAATGTCCCTTCCACGTGCATTCTCACGTGATTGAAGCGACCGGTTTAGACATGGCAGCGAACGGTTTAGATTCCCAACCCAAAAAGCTCCCATCTCTTTTTGTTCCGGTCAACTCCTCTGTTCTTAGTATAAATATGTTTTGTGATAAAAGACTCATAACACTCAGAAACTCAAAAAACATGGGTTCTTGGATACTAAAGTTGCTGCTGCTACAACTTCTGCTTGTGTTGATTAAGCATGCTGATGCAAGCTCTATCATCAGATATCTTCCTGGCTTTGAAGGCCCTCTTCCTTTTGAGCTTGAAACTGGGTTCTCTTCTGCCTCATTCATCTTATTCTCCATATTAGTTGCATTTTAAATGAATCCTGTTCTGAGTTTTGGAGTTAAATCGTTTCAGGTACATAGGTGTTGGTGAGGAAGATCAAATGTTCTACTACTTCATCAAATCTGAGAGGAACCCTGAAGAAGACCCTCTTCTTGTCTGGTTAACTGGAGGACCTGGCTGCTCTTCTTTCTCTGGTCTTGTTTATGAGAATGGTAAGTAAATCTCCTAAAATTCATTCTTATTTGTTTCTGAAAAGTTTTCCATTGACTTGTTTGAACTGGAAACATCAGGGCCTCTTGCTTTCAAGGTTGGGGCCTACAATGGAAGTATCCCCACTTTGGTCTCTACAACATATTCATGGACTAAGGTAATAAGTGAAAGCGCAATATTAGTAGTACAGAAACTAGAACACACAGTAATTCAAGAGTTGTCTTTTTCAAGAAAAATACGACTAGATAAATCCTTTTAAAAGCACATACAAGTTCTTTTGAAAAGCAATTCTCAACAAAGTTCAAGAACAACTTGACTTGTTGACTAGTCCAATCAATTCACGACTTACCCTAGTCAGTGAATTGCTTCTAACTCTTAAAGTATTTTGTCTACCTTGCTCGGTTTAGCAAAACTCTAACTTGCTAGAATATTACCCAGTGTGTTAGTCGACTACAACCCCGTCGACTCTCTCTTTATACCTAGAGAGAAAAACCCTAAAACTACCCAATGGAAACTTTCCATTTTTCTGTTTCAGCGAATAAGACAACCTTCTTCTTTTCTTCAATGGTTGCTTATTCTTCACTCCTTTTTCCTTAACGCCCACACCTTGATAAATATCTTCACATCTTTATTAAAGGCTCCTTCCTTTTTCTTGCTCAGCTCTAGACCTTGCATTTCATTTAATAGTTCATGTCGTGCTTCATGAACTACTTCAACTCCGTTCTTGAACTACTTCAGCTCTGTCTGCACCATACATCTTCAATCTCCCCCTTTTTAATCTGTGCGTCTCACAAGTACCTGAGATGAATACAACAATGCACACACAGACGAGAACAATCTTGCAAAGCAATTGATGTAAGCAAAAGTACTTANATTTCATTTAATAGTTCATGTCGTGCTTCATGAACTACTTCAACTCCGTTCTTGAACTACTTCAGCTCTGTCTGCACCATACATCTTCAATCTCCCCCTTTTTAATCTGTGCGTCTCACAAGTACCTGAGATGAATACAACAATGCACACACAGACGAGAACAATCTTGCAAAGCAATTGATGTAAGCAAAAGTACTTACATATCCAAAATAAAAAGGTTGCATACTTAATACATCTCCGAAAAGATAACACACATAAGTACTCCCCCATAATCTAAAAATTGTCTGAAACTGGAAATCAAAACCAGTTGCAACAAGTGGTGCAACCAGCAAGTACAATGCAAATGGAGTTCTAAAAAAAAAACATAAACAACAAAACCGCTCCCCCACAATCTTAGCCTTCATCTCAATCTTCTCCCCCTGCTTGTGAGCACACAGGTTAAAAACACAAAGCAAGATGTAAACAGACTCAATCAAAGTAAGACGAAGACTAACCAGAAACAGAGCGAGAGAGATCGGCGACAATATCAGTCAAGGCTCGCAGAGCCGCAGCCGTGTCCTGAAGTTCCTCTTGAAGCTCTTCCTGAGTAATCAGACCTTGAGGAACCTTGATGGTGCCCAGCTCAACCAAAGAAACCCTTCGAGGACCAGTCTTGCCACTTGGAGTAGATGGTGTCGGAGCAGGAGGAGGTCGAGGTGCGCGAGCAGAGGTACGGACCTCCTGTGGTGGAGTAACCTTTCCCTTACCTTTTGCCTTAGCTCTAAGAAGCTCATAGTTCTCTCCAACACGCTTGTCCTTTTTGTAGGGCACAGGGCGAACAGGTTTCTCACCACTCTTTGGCTGAAGAAGGTGTTGCTTCTGAAGAATTCCCATAACGAGGCGCGGAAAAATCAACCACCGAGAGTCATTGCGCTGAATGACTCCCAAATTCATTATCTGCTTGAAGATCAAGTTCCCCAAATCAATCTTCACACCATGCGCCATCTTGTAAACCAGCTTGGCCCTATCCATAGACACATGTGTCTTGTGAGTAGAGGGAATCCAATTATAGGCTGCAATGATCATCAAAGCACCATAACGAGGTGAGAGATCAGTGGTGGTCAAGCTAGCCCATGTCTTCTTGGTCTTCTCAGTTAAGAACTCAGCCAGCTCAGTCACAGTAACTGCATCCATGGTTTCTTCCATGTCAGCTTCTTCCTCAGACAAGACCTCAAGACCGAGGTACTCATTAATGACTGAGGGTGAAAACTGATACACATGGCCTCGGACATGTACCTCAACCTGTCCTTCAGCATCTTCAACTTTAACATTTGGAAGCCCTGCATAAAATTCAGCCACCACCTGCTCGACATAACTCACAAGAGATGTCACAGTCGACACCATACCGCCCTTCTTGATAACCTCAACATACCCCCACTGATCCGGTTCCTCCACATCTACACTACGTTCAGCTATAAAACTACGACCCGCAAACTGATCATACCTCATCTTTGACTCTGGTGTAGTAGCTGAAGCACGGAGATCTCCCTTCTTCCTAGATTTGAGACGATCAGAGACAGTGGCTTCTTTGGGGAGGCTAGGAGGGTTCGCAGCAGTTTGAGATGGCGTAGGAGCATTGTCATCTCCAGTCTTGGCTTTCTTAGAACCCGGAAGACCCAGCCTTTGAAGAATTCGCTTCTTCCTTGCTTTGATTGGTGGGGTTCCTTCAGATGTTGAGCTCAACTCCACCGCCTCTTTGGCTGTCTGAGTAACTGCCAAGGGCAGATTCTCCGGATCTTGAGATCCTTCGATTTGTTCCTCTGCTTCTTTCACTTCCGAGTCTGAATCGGTGTGTGTCGCACCTGGGGCAGATGCGGTAGGAGAGGCTGGAGTTTTGGGAATGGTGTCTTCTGGGGCAGTTGATGACGCAGGTACATGGGATGTGTCCAAAGTCGAGTCCTTTTGTTGTGACGTGCCCTGATGCTCATCACTCTCTTCCGATTGAGCCTTCTCATTGGCCGTATTGAAGGACTCGAGCTCCTCGGTGACCTCAAGAAGAGCCGTCAAGGTTGTCGGATTGTTAAGAGGAGGAGGTGATTCATCTTCTCCGTCAGCAAGTTGAAGTCGATCTGGCTCAGGAGTGACATGCACGGGTGGATTTGCTGAGGAAGATGCAGCAGCCGACTTCTTCGTGTTCTTCATCGTTGAAATGAGATCTCGGTGGATTTGCTAAGAGACGATTTCTGAGCAGTTTCTTTGATGTAGGAGTGGAGAAGTGAGATCGTGTGAGGTATATTGAACAGTTTAGGGTTTTCCCACTATCGCCACTAAGAGGGAAACTCAACCAACTTTTCCGAAATTGTCCATCTGGTCCCTGTACTGATTTACTTTCCTGTTTGTAACCTGCACAATTAATCTCTCTCAACCAAACCCATTAGACTTAAGCAACCACATTCTCGAATAATAATGTATCATTAGACTCTCAGAGTAGCAATTAAACATGTATCACAGATCACACTTGGCCTTAGTTAGAGAGAATTTAAAGAATTTAAACAGATTGATTTTGTACCTTTCGGAATATGTCATGCCTGGTCTGATTCAACACTTAATTCAGGCTGCACACACAAGACTTTTAGATCGTACAGTCTGGTGGACTCAAAAGTCGTCTATGGCTAGCTTTCACACCGTTGTACCTTCATCAATCCTAGTGGGTTTTCACTTCCTCATTCACATGTGTGAGTGCTCCCAATCCTTTCATTTTGTTTCTTTTTTTTTTTTTTTTTGTTGTTGTTGTTGAACTTCTTCACCTTTCTTGTGAGGTGACGATGTTGCATCTTAAGGATATTATGATCATACACACACGTGAAAACTTGTACCTCTCAGCAGAATCAACGGTACAACTGGTAGCTCTTTTCCACAGTGTCCTCGAGTGCCAGACATAATCTGAATCATGTGTACCCCCTGAACTAGCACATGTACCAAACCCTGCACTACTTGACTCAACAATCAAGGTTACATACTCCAATGGCATTTCTTAGTGTGATAAAACGGTTAAAATCAAGGGGTTTAGTAAAAATATCAGCCAACTGTAAATCAGTAACAACATGCTCAATTACTACCTGATTGT